CTTGGAACGAATTTTTCAAAACAATTTCTCCCATTTCTCCTTTGGTACAGATGTTCCTCTGCATGCCAGAAAACAAATAGAAAACACACCGATCGAATACATGTGTCGGAAGACACCCTTATGGGCGAAAAAACAACCCTCGAAACAATTTAAAAATTTCTCAAAGATCGTAGAATGATTTCTCCCATTTCTCCTTTTGCACAGAGGTACCTCTGCATGCCAGATAATAAATAAAAAATACCCCGATCGAATACATGTGTCGAAAGCCACCCTTATGGGTGATAAACCACCATCGAAATAACTTAATAATTTCTAAAAAAAAGTAAAATGATTTCTCCCATTTCTTCTTTGGCACAGAGGTTCCTCTGCATGCCAGACAATAAATAAAAAATACCCCGATCGAATACATGTGTCGAAAGCCACCCTTATGGGTGATAAACCACCATCGAAATAACTTAATAATTTCTAAAAAAAAGTAAAATGATTTCTCCCATTTCTTCTTTGGCACAGAGGTTCCTCTGCATGCCAGACAATAAATAAAAAATACCCCGATCGAATACATGTATCGGAAGACACCATTATGGGCGAAAAACCACATTCGAAATAACTTAAAAATTTCTCAAAGATCGTAGAATGATTTCTCCCATTTCTCCTTTTGCACAGAGGTCCCTCTGCATGCCAGACAATAAATAAAAAATACCCCGATCGAATACATGTGTCGAAAGCCACCCTTATGGGTGATAAACCACCATCGAAATAACTTAATAATTTCTAAAAAAAAGTAAAATGATTTCTCCCATTTCTTCTTTGGCACAGAGGTTCCTCTGCATGCCAGACAATAAATAAAAAATACCCCGATCGAATATATGTGTCGAAAGCCACCCTTATGGGTGATAAACCACCCTCGAAATAACTTAATAATTTCTAAAAAATCGTAAAATGATTTCTCCCATTTCTTCTTTGGCACAGATGTTCCTCTGTATGCCAGAAAACAAATAGAAAACATCCCGATCGAACATATGTGTCGGAAGACACCCTTAATGGTGAAAAACCACCCTCGAAACAATTTAAAATTTTCTCAAAGATCGTAGAATGATTTCTCCCATTTCTCCTTTTGCACAGAGGTCCCTCTGCATGCCAGACAATAAATAAAAAATACCCCGATCGAATACATGTGTCGAAAGCCACCCTTATGGGTGATAAACCACCATCGAAATAACTTAATAATTTCTAAAAAAAAGTAAAATGATTTCTCCCATTTCTTCTTTGGCACAGAGGTTCCTCTGCATGCCAGACAATAAATAAAAAATACCTCGATCGAATACATGTGTCGGAAACCACCCTTATGGGGTGATAAACCACACTCGAAATAACTTAAAAATTTCTCAAAGATCGTAGAATGATTTCTCCCATTTCTCCTTTTGCACAGAGGGCCCCCTGCATGCTAGACAATAAATAAAAAATACCTCGATCGAATACATGCGTCGGAAGCCATCTTTATGGGCGAAAAACCACCCTCGAAACAACTTAAAAATTTCTCAAAGATCGTAGAATGATTTCTCCCATTTCTCCTCTTGCACAGAGGTCCCTCTGCATGCCAGACAATAAATAAAAAATACCCCGATCGAATACATGCGTCGGAAGCCACCCTTATGGGTGATAAACCACCCTCGAAATAACTTAATAATTTCTAAAAAAAAGTAAAATGATTTCTCCCATTTCTTCTTTGGCACAAAGGTCCCTCTGCATGCCAGACAATAAATAAAAAATACCTCGATCGAATACATGCGTCGGAAGCCACCCTTATGGGCGAAAAACCACCCTCGAAACAACTTAAAAATTTCTCAAAGATCGTAGAATGATTTCTCCCATTTTTCCTTTTGCACAGAGATCCCTCTGCATGCCAGACAATAAATAAAAAATACCCCGATCGAATACATGCGTCGGAAGCCACCCTTATGGGCGAAAAACCACCCTCGAAGTAACTTAAAAATTTCTCAAAAATCGTAGAATGATTTCTCCCATTTCTCCTTTTGCACAGAGGTCCCTCTGCATGCCAGACAATAAATAAAAAATACCCCGATCGAATACATGCGTCGGAAGCCACCCTTATGGGTGATAAACCACCCTCGAAATAACTTAATAATTTCTAAAAAATCGTAAAATGATTTCTCCCATTTCTTCTTTGGCACAGATGTTCCTCTGCATGCCAGAAAACAAATAGAAAACATCCCGATCGAACACATGTGTCGGAAGACACTCTTAATGGTGAAAAACCACCCTCGAAACAATTTAAAAATTTCTCAAAGATCGTAGAATGATTTCTCCCATTTCTCCTTTTGCACAGAGGTCCCTCTGCATGCTAGACAATAAATAAAAAAATACCCCGATCGAATTCATACATCGGAAGCCACCCTTATGGGCGAACTTGCTAAACTTTTAAAATGTTAAATATTCATTACCTTATTAACAAGATTAGTCGCTTCCTATCGCTGCAAAATTTCTTAATTAATTTTTATTATAACATTGTATGTTTTATAACTTTGTAACTTTATTATTGGACACGTTACATCTTTTTATTTTACAATTGACAAGATTAATTATCCTACGACACCATCATTGACTAGAAATTTAGTTTACATAGTATTAAGAAGAATTTTAAGAAGCGAGTAATTATGTTTGTTGCGTCTTTGTTTTCGATCTATTGTTATATATAAAACTTTCAAAATACTTTATATATTTTTTGTACATTGAATATGATCCAATTGGAGTTTGTTTTAATTATATTGTACATCATGATTTTTTGAATTAAATTTGTTCGTTTAACTATTTGGCTCTTTGCCCTATTTTTTCTTCTACTGTTTTAAATACGTTTCTCTCGAGAAGATAATTTTTGTCACGACCTCACACAAGGACTCAATAAGGATTTCTTTGAGTATCTCATGTATTCAATAGTAAAAGAGAGGAATAATGGATGCTGATCACAACTAACGAGATCGTCGAGGTTGTTGCTGAAGTATGTCAATGTCGTCGCTCTTATATCTCCAGGTGAGATTCTTTACGGGGCGACGGACTTCCTCTCTCATTTCTGAAACGTCGACGAAACCAGACAGTCGCCTTCGATATGAGGGGAAAGAGAATCTGACTGGTGTGACGTCACCTCCGTGGGGATTACGCTGATCGATAAAAGGCCTCACAGCGGTTCCTAATATGGATCGAAGGATAAGGCTGTCGTACATATAATAATGCTTCTCCGATCTTGATCTTTTCCATAATTACGCAAGATTCCGTTACAGAAGACGTCACGATATGTCTTAGGCTGGGTCCACAATCTCGCTTTAAGAGGCCCTAAGCCGTAAAGCCGTAAGAAATTGACCAATCACAGAGAATTATTTTTCTCGCATTTAACTATGATTGGTCAATTTTTTACGGTTTTATTACGGCTTACGGCCTCTTAAAGGTTGTGGACCCAGCCGATTTAATAAATAACAAATTCGGTTAAACGTATATATTAGTGCGTACTAGAGTGCATATTGAAGCCATTCTACTAATTTAATTTCTTATGTAAAAGTAAAAAGTAGGTATTTTTAATTGTAAAAGATGCAGATTTTATTTAACAACATAATAAAATATATTGAGGATTTATAGTTTAATTCGTTTTTATATTTATATTATTTACTCATGTATTTATGTGTCAATTTGTGTACGACGGCTTTAATGTGTATTTTAGTACGTACTGAGTGACCAATCGAAAGTTATAAGATCATGGATTTTAATTTGATTTTTTAATTTTTTAATAAAAAGACATTTCATGTCTGTGATGGAACATAAAATTACGAAGGTATCTGTACATTGTATGTAAGTGTTTCTTATGTGTCAAATTGGTTAGTGTCAAATTTTGTCCGCAAGTTTTATATGTATACATGTGAAAAGTACTCGTATATCTGAAGACGCGGTAGTGTCTCCGGCCATGTTCAAAAACTGAGAGACACTACAATAAGTTTCTTATCCCGAGCCACCAAAGTCCATTTTTGGGAGGTGCATAACTACTAAAATATAAAAAATTTTGAATCGAACGTTATATGTCCTAAAAGGCGGCATCGCCACGAGTAATTTGAGCCAAAACAATTTTAAATCGGTCAAGTCGTTCTGGAGATACAAGCGGTCGAAAAGTGGTGATTTTAATGAAAAATTAAGAAAAGACCCTCCTTCTCTGTCTGTCTGTCTGTCCGTCCGAAATATGTAACTTTTTAACATTTCCTCTCACCTTTCACTCACACCTCCACCATCTTCGATCCGCTGGACCTCCAGCTCCCCCTCCCTCATCACCCACCCCCACCACCCCTCTCTTTCGCCGTATTTCACTCTCTTTCGTTCTATAGTATTTTTAAATTATTTTTTTATGATCACCAACAATATCTTATATCATTAGATATAATTATTGTTTATTTTTATATTTTATATCATTAAATATTTTTAAAAAATTATACATAAAAATGAAAAGTTCGAGCCATGTTCAAAAAAAGATACTAAAAAATTTAAACCTTTTCATCTAATTGTAAGTGAACCACGAAAAGTAACTGATATAATATTAATTAAAGGTGCCAGTTCAAAGTGAACATACATAAAGTGTATTTCAAATCGTCTTCGCTTTCCACTGTCTCCCTCATATATTACCACGAAAAGTAACTGATATTTTATTAATTAAAGGTGACAGTTCAAAGTAAACATACATAAACTGTACGTAACTTTCGGTCGATTTTCGAATCGCCTTCGCCTTCTCCTCACTGTCCCGCGCGCAGGTCAAATGTCGCTCGAGTGGCATTTGGACCACGCGCGGTGAGGAGGGGGTAATATAATGCTCTATCAACCAAGCTGTAAATAACACCTATTTTTGTGATAAAGGGTGGTTTGATAAATATGATAAGTATCTTCCAAAAAATATTATTTATTTATATATATATTTATATATAATTATTATAATAATTAATTATTATAACTGCCTCTGTTGCCCCTCTTGCTGCCCCTTCTCCGTGGTCCCCAATAATAATGGGCATTGGAGAGCCGCCTCAAGAACTGTATAAATCTAACGTTTTGAATCCGCTCCCCTGCGCGGCTTCTTCGGTACACTGTAATTAAAAAACAAATTATTAAAACTAGAAACTTTTTAGGACCGTATAATTGATAAACAATAATAAACTAGAAGAAGAAAGCCATTTACGGTCAAAGCTGGATCACAGTGCTTATTATAATTGTGTGAATTTTATATACTGCGTATGTAGTCCCCCCATAAATCGTGACGCTGATAGTTTTTCAGCATTCTCCTACTTTAGATAAATATTGCAAAGAAATAATACTACGTCATCCCGCCATCAGAGGTCTATCGATGTTCGCAAAATTTCTCGCAAGTGCTGAGATACGCGTATGTCGCTTTATATAGAATCTCGATTAATAACTTACGCAGGCGTCTAAGGTAGGTTTCCATTACAATGCCTTACTGATGAGTCCACTAGTGGAAACCGGGACGAAACGCCAACTCGTGATATTCTTCGCAATTTTATTTTTTATAGATTTAGATTTATCATTATTTCAACATTACTTCGGTTAAAATTTAATTATGTCTTTCGACATATTATTAAGATCCAATAAGATGCTATAAGCATAAAAAATTGTGATTGCTTGTCAATTTAACTAACAAGGGGAGGACCAGATGACTCGCCCTGGGATTTCAATCCCAATTTTTTTTAGTGATTCTAGAGGTGAAAAAATAAGACCCGTGTCCCGGCGTTTGATTGAATAGGCCTTAGTTTCTGAATAATATTATTTTAAGGAGGTTCTATCGTTAGGGCAAGGTGACTAGAAAAATATGAAAAAATATAAATATTGTTCTTTAAAAGTAGCTGAAGCCCTAGGTAAAGTTTTTAGGTAGGGTTGCCGACTTTAAACTCATGAAAAACGCTTTTGAAAAGTCCGATTAATACACATGTCCTTATGGGGGATATGAAAAATTCATTAGTTATAAAGATATATCTTTTCAGAATGTGTCAAGAAGTAAATAAAAAACTGATATATGAAAGTGTAGGATCTCGTTTATCATTTAAAGCAAAAAAATAATACGTTGCCGAAAAAGTGAATGAGATATTTAATAAAGAAGTTGTAAAAAGTGTACAGGTTATAACGCTTCTGCTGTCGCGAGCTCACGCGTATGCGCTTCAGAGCCTCAGAGGTTACTACTTTCTTCAATCAAGCCTTGTATTTTTTACTTAATAAATAATATACATTGTGTACACTTCAAATTAATCAATTTAACAGTTATCTTAAATAAAATTATAATTTTAGAAATAAGATTTATGAGTGTTAAAAGCAGTTTTTTCCACACTTTTCCGTAGTCCTCATTTGACGTCGGAATACCGATAGAGCCTCCTTAATGATACTGATACATATTATTACATAATTCAAATTCAATTATTTCGATGCGGCACAATTACTTGGATGATAAACATCATAAAAACGTTTAAAGCATATAAATTTTTTACAGTTTGTACAATGAATAAATGAAGGAGTACCACATACACATTTATTTTTCCGTAAGTTTGAGGGAAAACATATTTATTTTGTTGACGTTTCCAAAGTCGACCTTACGAATTACGAGGCAAGCGTCTGACTCATGGAGCCAATTGCATTGGTTGCAAGCATCGCTACCGGGAAGGTTCATACAGCGCGACGCGGCGCGCTTCGGATCTGGCCAATATTCACAAATTTATTACTCAGAAACTAAGACTTATTCAATCAAACGCCGGAACACGGGCCTTTTTTTCACCTCTAGAATCACCAAAAAAATTGGGATTGAAATCCCAGGGTAAGTCACCTGGTCCTACCCTTGTAACCCAGTAAGCAAAATAATATTCCAGCAACGTTATTGAAATGATATTTAACAACATGTAACATTTTGGAATATGTAGTTGTTAACGTTGTATATAACGTTATCGTAAACAAACTTTGACGTACATTTAGAGATTTCAGTAATGTTGATATGGAGTTGCAATATCATTACAACTAATGTTGCGATAATATTTTTATTTCATTAGAACAATGTTGATATAAGGATAAAATATCGTTGGAACTAATGTTGCAGTAATGTTTTTCTAACATTAGAACAATATTCATATGATGATGAAATATCGTTGAAACTAATGTTGCGGTAATATTTTTCTTACATTAGAACAATATTCATATGACGATGAAATAGCAATATTTAGTAAATCAGGGAATGAAATATCATGATGCAAATATGAGAAAAACAAAATCACATCTTTGTTTCTCATATTTACGTTATATTTGCGTAATGATATTTCGTCTTCCGATTTACTAAATGTTGCTGCAATATTGTGCATTGAATTATTCTAATATAAAAGTGAAGTTGCCATAAAGTTTACGTACATACATTTGTCTATCTGGGAATATTCCAACCAAAAAAAATTTTTAATTTAATTTTTTAATTCTTTTTTAATTATTTGTATTATGTAC